GTGTGTGTAATGAAAAATAGAGAGAATAAGAACTTGTCATTTTGTACATAATAAACATTATCAACATGGCTCGATTGTGTCTCGATTTTATCCATTAGCTTCTTCATTTTGGTTGGTTGAGATTTGCATCTTGCTTTCTTTCGTTAGCTATCATAAAGTTTTCCTTTGGCGGTTCTCGATGGTTATTCTCATCCGTATATCGTTTTGACCTAATATTGATGCGGCATGACGGTTATGAAAATACACGTCTTACTCGTCGTTTACGTTTTATTTGATCGCGTTAGAGTTCCTATTAATAAGAGAAAGACTAGAATTTTACGAAAGAACAGATTAAAGCAAAAGGAAAGCAACTGAATAAAAAAAATTTTAAAAAGGAATAATTACTAAATTACAAAACGATGTGTAACTAGTAAGACGGTCAACGTTGAACTGAACTGGTGTTGCCAACCGAAGGTTGAACAAAGCAATATTTAGATCCAAACAAGTAATTAAACAAGTCAACAACATAAGAATCTGCTCATCCGCCATATTTGTTTTGAAACTAGGGAGGCCTGGATAAGAGATCATGCGACGCATTCGACGTCATCGTATTCAAAAGGCTCCAATTTCGACCGTCCACATCAAAACGATGTGTATCCGTTTTCATGTGTTTTCGACGAATACGCTCGGCCTACTCATCTGGGGATCCTGCAACAAGACGCTTATGGAGAGCCTACAAGGATCCATTACCGTGCTGCTCGTATCATCCATGGCTTGCCATGGGATACTCCAAGAACTCAGATCATGGACCAACCGCACTGGAAACCACTGACCCAATTCTTCAACATCAAACTTGGCGTTTTCGTACACATGTGACTACACGACGAAATCTCGCACCACGACCTGCAACAACTCTTCACAAGGCGAGACGTTGGATACAATCTTCGAGGGTCCAACATCATAAAGCTGCCACGAAACTGTACCAACTACGGCAAGAAATCCATTAGACTCCAAGGTACCAAACTCTGGAACCAGCTACCTGATGAATCACGAACATTCAAATCCAAATCTATGTTTAAAAAGGAGTTGAAACATGCCCTCCGTACTGACTTATGAGAACAATGCAGCAGGACAATGCAACATATGACTTTCGTGTAATCACGTAAATGAATAATGTAAATATGTAAATAACAATAACTATATCTATTATAATATCAACTCTGTTAAGGACTTGATTTTAGTTTCATCTTATGTTATCTTATTCATCGA